TTCTGCTTATGAGAGAAAACAAACCATCTTTGTCATTCTGTCTTGTTTTACTCAACACAGTGAGCTCCAATTCTACCAAGATGAATTTTTAAAGCATTATATGAATGATAGATAAGATTGTAGTTACAAACGAGTGCATACCATACACTTATTCTTATCTGAAGTTCTTCAATAGATAAGTGAATATAAATTCATAGAAATAGCTAGAGTGGTTTCTAGCAAGGAAATGGGGAAACTTTTGAGAAAGGTTGACACGTTTTATTTTATAATTTTAGCTATGCTGAGTTGCACAGATGATATCTGTACATTTCCCTGTATGTAAGTTTTATTTCACCTTTCCAAAACCACATAAATCAGAATACATGCATCACGAAGGCAGGAACATTATTTTGCATAGTGCTGTGCTTTAGTTCCTATCCAAAGGGCAGGACAATAAACAGGAGCTCGGTAAATGAATACAAAAATTATCCAGCCTTGGATTTCATCAATAGCTATGGTTGTCAAATATATAATGAAGATTTGGACAGCCAACCCTATATAATACATGTGTGTTTTGTATTTTAAACCTGATTAATCCATTTCCTGGCTTACTAAGAATCCTGTTCATCATTTACAGTATTCTGACAAAAGCAAATGGATATTCCAACTGTTTTTACTGGCTCAAAAACTTGTGTTTCCCCTACTACAACCACTTTACATGGTGAACTATAAGACTGAGGAACAGACTGTAAAACTGATACTATACCCACATGGATGCTTAATAGTATTTATCTGTTTTGAATTATCAGTCCTAGAAAGCAGCTAAATATATACTTTTTAAACTCTGACATGGATAAATAGATATTGGCTAGAATGGTCAGACATAATAAAGAAATCTTCTAGGAAATATTTGTTAGATTGGATGAATAAACTGATGAAATATGAACCTGAGAATATCTGGTAAATATAACGAAAGACACATCCTTCTAATATTTCTCTCTATATACATCTACAGCAAATTTGAAATGATTAGCATACTTTTCTGTGATGTTGGTGATCCAATCCAGGGGCACATACATGCTAGGCAAGTATTCTACCACTGAACTACATACCTCAAGTCATTTCAGTGATGTTCTTTTAAAGTCATATTAGTTTCTATTTTGAGAATTCATGTTACTTTATTGGACGATTTTTAGCAAGTAGTCATAAAATGTGACCATGTGACCAAAAACAGAACTATGTCATAAACTTAGTTAATGATAGGGAGTGTTGTTCAGAAGGTGACAGGAAAGAGAAGCCTCACAGTCAGGACCTGTAAAATTCCAATACTTATAACAGGTTCTTCTCTGAAGTAAATGGAAAAGGAAACAAGTGAAGAATTGAAAGAGCAGTAAGTTGCTATATCAGATCACATGAAAGGAGAAATGAGACTATATTGTTCTCACTTTTGTATGGTGTTTTAAATCTCCACATACTCATTGGGAAAATTTAAAACTGAAAATACAGAGGATAACGATGAAGCAATAGATTTTCAATGATAATATAACCAAGAAATTATATAATAATTATATATGATTATATATAATCACTTTAAAATGTTGTTATTGTTCTTAATCCACGGGGGAGTGAGGATGTTGTAGATGGCTTTGTCTTGTAACCATATGTCAAAAACACATTTCTGTATCAGTGATGTATTTCTACAACATATTTTATGGTTCGTGACAATAAGATTTCAAATGCTCTGACATATCTAAATTATATGAAAGTGTGGAGATTTTCTTTGCATTGGCTTATAATGCAGAAATAGCATTAACATGAGTATATACTGTAAATACTCACATTATTAAGATATTACTTTTAATATTACAAATGAATTTCAATTAGTTATTTTATTTTGCTTGTCTATAAGTTGCTTCTTATATGAAACAAGAAGGGTAGATGATGATTTTGATACCAGCAATGACAGGTATACTCATGTTCTGAAAGCCTACTATATGTCCAGCATTACTTAAAGTTTCCTGAATTCACTTTCCACAACTCAGTCTCATTTTATATATGAATATAATTCATTTTCAGGTGAATTAACCAATCTGATCTTATACTTCTATGCAGAAAATCTTACTTTACCATGTGCTTTCCCAATTAAACTTAGTCCATTATTTTAGGTAATGGGTTTCCAGGGCATGGTTAATGATTATTTCCAAATCTCCCATTATGTGACTTGTGCTTAACCAGAGTCCACAGGTTGTTCATCCCCTGCTGATGATTATAGAGGTGATAGCAGCAACAAAGGTGGTAGAGAAGAAACATTTTGTTTCATCTAAGAGTCTTATGTCTGGGACACTATGAATGTCCTGGTTTCTAAGAAAGTACATGTCCTTCAAGAAAGAAGACAACTGATGTATAGAAGATCCTATACCAATAGGGAGAAAAGCCCACAGTGGTAACTGATTCCTTTGCCTTTTATGTCTATCCATATACTTAACTACTTTGTACTTCTTTTCTGATTACTTTCTTTTTCCTTTCTATCTATTTGCCTCTCTCTGGGGTGTGTATGTGTGGGACTTAGAAGAAAACCTGCTGGAGGAGTTGGTTCTCTCCCTCCTTGTTAAGTGTGTCCCAGACCCAGCTCAGGTGGTCAAGTTTGGCAGCAAACACCTTTGCCTGCTGAGACATTCCTAAGGGCCCCACTTTGCATTTCCAAGCCAAAGAATTTGAATTCTCACCTCATTACCCAAATAACCCTTTAAGACTCCAGAAGCTGGGGCTCAGTTCCGGAAGAGAAGGCTCTAAGGTTAGCAGCTTCTTTTGGATCTGGAAGAGTTCAGCACATTCAGCAGCCCACTCCTGTAACTGCATCTTCCAAGGGGCATCTGATGCCTCTGGCCTCCATGGATAACCCCACATAGACATGCTCATACCCACACAGGGACACACGCATACATATAATTAAAAATGAGAAAAGCAGCTGGGCATTGTGGCACACACTTTTTTATCCCAGCACTCGGGAGGCAGAGGCAGGTGGATCTCTGTAAGTTCGAGGCCAGCCTGCTCTACAGAATGAGTTCCAGGACAGTCAGAGCTGTTACACAGAGAGACCCTGTCTTGAAGAAATCAATATAAATAAATAAATAAATAAATAAATAAATAAAACAAAAGTAACTCTTCTTTTAAAAGATGTCAGAAACATTTCTTCAGGTGACAAATATGAAGAACACTACTTAATTTCACTGCTTCCTCCACCTCCAACACCTTAAAAAGCAACTTTAATTGTTTCTTTTTACAATGATTTTGTCTTACTTTAAAGTGTATATTTGTGCATGTGAACATGCACCAGAATGAAGATGCACAAAGAGGCCAGACGCATTGGAAGTCCTGGAGCTGGAGTCACAGGTAGTTGTGAACCAATGAATATGGATACTGGGAACTGAACTTAGGTCTTCTGGAAGAGAAGCAAGTGCTCTCAACCACTAAACCATGTCTCCAGTCCCTTAAGAAACATCTAAACACTGATTCAGTTGGACTGCCCTGAGTCTGCAAATCAAAGGCTGAGTTTGCAGTGTACGGCTGTTCAAACAAGAGATAACAGCATTTTTTCCCCTCCCCAGATGTAGGATCCAAAGGCTTTGCAAACTTCCTTACCTGCAATCATCTATGATTTTGGTTCTGAGCTGACACAGACATGAGATGTTCTGCATCAGATAGACACAGAACTAACTCCTTCTAGAACCACTGAAATAGGCTGGGGCAAATTTCAGGCCATTCTGGGTCTTAATAGGATAGGAGAGACAAGAATGGGGCAGGTCTTATCTGCAAGCTAACCTCGCTTTTGCCCGTTATTCCAGAGGTTAGTTCACTGGACTCTGAGGCAAGGGTCAGCTCCTTATATTTCACCCCCCAGTCACCTAGTGAGATACCTTCTAGCTCAAAGGCAGTCCTAACCAGTGTTTCCAGTGGGGGAAACTTTGAGGTTCTATTTCTTCCCCTGGGAAAAAAAGATTTCCAAAAGAGACTGATTAACAGAAGAAAAGATAACATGCTCTGACTTGGAGTGGGAACAGCCCACCAAGTAAGTCTTCCAAGATAGCTGAGTCCTCAGCTCCAGAAGCCCTGATGCCTGATACAATCTTGAGCAGAGAAACCAAATGGTGTGCTCAGCCCATAGAGGAGTGCCCTGTGCCAGAGTGGTCCCTCTGAGTACCAATGTACTGAACATAGGCTTTCTAATGAAACTTTGACAGTGAACCTAGCCTCTGGAACCTTACTCTAGTGGGAATTCCAGTCTGCCCACCATTCATCAGGCTGTTATAATCTTGAAAAACATCTTCATTTGTAGTTTTTTCTAATATGTTTTACTCATGTTGCAAGAAGGGAATGCATGATGTTCAAGAAAGAAAATTTGATCTTATATTACAACTCTCCTTTGGCTTTTTAATTCTGCAATTTTTGTAAACAGGAAGCTTTGAAGTCTTGTGTATGGAACCTTTAATATTTTTCTTTAAATTTTGTATTTATATTTATATAAACACTAATTTTTAAATGTCTGTAAGCATTCATATATATATATATATATGAATCTGTCCTGGAACTTGCTCTGTAGACCAGGCTGGCCTCAAACTCAGAGATCTCTTTGCCTCTGCCTCCAGAGTGCTGGGATTAAAGGCGTGAGCCATCACTGCCCAGCTAAATTTTGTTTTTTAAACTTCTGTGTATGGGATTTCTGCCTATATGTATACTTGTATACTACATGGATACCTTGCTCCTATAGAGGCCAGAAGAGGACATTGAATCCCCTGGGACTAAAGTCCCCTGGGACTAAGATGTTTGTGAGCCACCATGTGGATGCTGGAAATTGAACCTAGTACTCTGGAAAAGCAGTCGATGCTCTTAACTGCTGACCCATCTATCCAGCCTCAGCATTCACTAATGTTTTATTCTATTTATCTTATGGTCTTCATTTATGTTTGAAAGTACACTGTATATACCAGTGATTCTCGTGCCTCAGTATATATAGTACTCACCTGGGGCAGTTTGTTAGATCTGTTGTATTTCCAGGCAATCTTCAGAGTATTAATCAAGTAGATAATATGTGAACCCAAGAAATCAGCATTCTCAAGATACTTCACAGATGACCCTGATGTAGAAAATAATACAAAAATCTTTAATAAAGTATTTGGACAACAATTCTTTCTCTGTGTCTCTCCCTCTCTCCCTCCATTTCCTCTCTTCTCTCCACAATTACTTGTTATACTTCCAGAGAAATAAAACATGCATGCAATAAAGACTGAGTGCCATCCCAGAATGCACATGGTGGGAGAGACCTGACACATTCCAGTTGCACTCTGGTTGTCACACACTCACACACTAATAAATGTAATTTTAAATTTTTAAAGGAAAAATATGGACATTGGACGTGGGCCACAGATAGTTCTTAAAGAAAACAGTAGATTCAGTAGATTAAGGCACTGAGCATATGAAGAATCTCTTTAATGGCATCCAAATATCATTACTGATAGTCTAACTAAAGGGAACAGATCATTCTGCTATTTGCTCTACCCTCTCACTCCTTTGCTTATCTAGATTTTCTTTTTTTCCATTCTAAAATAGAATTGATTCATTTTATAATAAAAATAAAGGTATTTTTAACAGTAAAAATCACACTTGAAATATAATGCACCAGGCAAACTCCCATCAGTATATGGAGGTATCAGAATGAAAGATAACCTTTATTATACAGGAGCAATGTAATACCTATCACTTACACAACAGCCATTCTACTGCAAGTACATTCATCATGTTCATAGCACCTTTGGAAGTTTTTGAATCTTTCCATATTTCAACAGGGGGTACGTAGATGGGGGTGGTTATGATTCTTAGATATGCCTGCATAATAACAAATCTTTGCTTTATAAATAATTTTTATCTTTCAAGAAATAAAATGGAAATCAACCTTGTACAATTTATGCATTTTCTCTGAGTGTCTCCTGAGCCAATGGGGACAGTCAGCAGCCTTCACATAGATTTTCTTGCAAGGCAAGGACACAATCTCATTTTTTGTTAGAAGCAGCTCCTCTGGGAATTGAGTACAAAACTCAGTTGGCAGAGTGCTTACCTACTATGTATAAATTCTTGAATATGATCCCCAGTATGATATAAACTGAAAGCTGTGGTACTCAGCTGAAATCCCTACACTTGGGAAATGGAGAGCACAGGATCAGAAGCTTAAGGTCATATTAAGTTACAAAGTCAGTCGGTGGCAAGCCTGGGATACATAAGATACTGTCTCAAAAAAACAAAAGACAAAAAACACTATAAAAAATACCCAGCAATTTTTCCATATTTTTCATTTAAATAGGTACCTTGGTCTACTCTCAAATAGGTTTATTATATAAGGTTGGGAATCATGCCAAGAAAAATGCTCCACGTTTAAAAACAAAAGGGATTGCTTGTGCTTAAGACTTTGAAAGACACCCTCTTAAACCCAGAGCAGTTTTTTAAAGACTTAAAAAAATTTATGTGTACGTGTATGACCCTGCATGAGCATATGTGTACCACGTCCGTGTGGAGACCAGAAGAATATCAGATCTCCTGGAACTAGAGTTAAAGTGAGCCACCATGTAAGTGTTAGAAATTGAATTTGAATTCTCTGCAAGAGCAGTTAAGCATTCTCATGAGTCACTGCTCACTACTTTTGCTTTGTCACTGCAAAATAAGGCTTAAAACTGTGGGGAAACAGAGTGTGGTGACTCATATTTCTAATCTCAGCACTTCAGAAGATGAGGACGGACTACCATTAATTCCAGGCTAGCCTGGGTTACAGAATAAGACCTTGCTTCAACCAAAACAAAACAGCGAATTATAGTGGCACCACCTGTAGTTGAGCACTCCACGATGGGAGTTCAACTGGGGAATTCCAGGAGACCCAGTGGGGTCTTGACACTCAGTGCCCCAAGTGGTGGGGGCCAGCAGAGAACATAGGATCCAGCATAAGTGGCCCTAGTTGGCAGGCTGACAGATCCCAGGAAAAGGGAGGGGACTCAGCAACAGAAAATTGGCATGGAAGCCCCCACCTCTGCTTACCAGTTTTACATCTAAGCACAGGTTGAATGAGGCCAAATCCTCCCTGAATATGATGGCACACTACTGTTCCACACAGATGCCTGTGAGGCAAGTATTTTCCCCATGAAAAGACCAAGTCTTAAGCAAGTGTATCTATAATGATTGCCAGTTTTATTCCTCTGGCTAACAAATCCAGAGGTAATTCCAGGTTTACACTTCTTTTCAATAGTTCTTCATCAAGAGTTTAGTGTCTTTATTGCCTCTACAAGCTGGTTACAAATTAATTTTAATTAACTCCCACTTATTAAAAAATCTGCAGTTCTTTGTGAGACACACATTCATTAAAAAATACACATAAGCAAAAGGCAAAATTAAAACACACCACACAAAAATAAGCAGTTAAGTTTTTTGATACGCATAATTATACATGTACACACATAATTAGGAATTTTCCTATATATGTGAGCTGGTACTAAATATGCTGCTTTTTAATTGTATAATATGGAATGAACACATTTCCATGCATAAGTGTGAAACTTTCCAGCTGAAAAATAAATGTGGAAAATGGGTCAAAATCCAAAATCCAATGAGATGCTGGTAACAACAAAACTACCTAAAAGAAAATACCGCCAGGTAATTAAAAGTAAAATGAAGTTCAAAGATATGAAAAAATGCTAAGAGAAAGAAAGCAGCAGCCAGATTTCATTATCAGAGAAAAAAAGATTTCAAGGCCTGAAGCACACAGGGTAAGGTCGGCTTCGGGAATGTCTTTGCTTCCAATGCATCATCACAAACTTGTTTCTTACTCTTCTTATCTCTTCCCTAAGCCTTTCCAGCTCATCTACTCCTCTTATCACTTCTTCGGGGTTCAGATGCCTTGTGGGAGTGTCCTCTTTAGGTTCCGGGCTGGGTTGAGCAGGCTCTCCTCTAAGGCTTCCATCTGCTTCCTCCCCCCCACTTTCTCCAGAAGCCTGAAGATTTTCTCCTGCCTGCTGTGGCGGATCTTCTGAAGGATGGCCTTCATCTGCCTTTGGTGTGTTCTGGAGTGTCCCTTCGTTCTCGTCACAAGACTTTTGCATGTTGACTATTTCTTGTTTTTAATAAATTAATCCTAGAAAAAAAAACAAGGAAACAAAACAGATTAAGTGCCAGGCAAATGGATAAGTTCCTGTGTTCCCATAGCGACTGACTTTACTGATTCAGGTCTCTAATTGCCAAAAAGTTTTCTAACTAGACAAGTCAGGCTCTGAGCTCCTGACTCCACCCCTTCCTCCACCTCCCTTTCCTCCCCCCCTCTCCTTGCTCTCTAACTCCATCTTCTCCTGTCCCGGCTCCAGCCCACCATTTTCCCAGCAGGCCCTGCAACAAGCCTCTCCTAGCACTGAAATGGGAGCGGCGTGGAAGCGATTAACCCTTCCCTCACCACAGGGGTCTAACACTCCCACCCTTTCGGGCTTTTCCAAGTCATTCCATCCTCACCCTTTCGCCAGCAAAGGTCCCGTCAGTGGCCTCCTCTCTTTTAAATGTGTTTAGCCTCTCCCCTTCATTCTTTCACCCCATTTCCGCAGCAGGATCTGCACCGGGCTTCTGTGCTTAATCCGGATGGGGAGCCGCTGTGGCGCCCCTAGTATGTGTTTTGGTGTCTTCCGCACTTCTACCCCCCACCCAAAGGGTCCTGAAGCAGTCGCACCCTTGCACTGACCTGGAGGTATCTGAAGATTTTCCTATCTTCTTGCACCTCGACTTTTGTCGCGCCGAAAAGATAGAGTCCTGAAGAAAAGACAGGAGTGCTTGGTGAGCACACCAGTGCCTGGATCAAAAGGTCTCTTTTACGAACATAAGCCTTGATGGCACAAAGTTTTTCCACGTCCCCCTCTTCTCCCTCCTTTTGTGACAACCCCGCCTTCACCCGTACCCTCCGTTTCCCAGCAAGAGAGTAAAGACTGAGACAAGTTTTTCCCACATTGTTATTGTTTCTTCTCTCTGTCTCTCTCGTATTTTGCCTTTCCCCCTCTTTTCTTTCTCTGTGCCCCACTCATTAGCTACCTCCCTTCCAGTCTGTCCCATCCCTCACCAAGCAGCTCCAAACCTCTCGCACAAAGTAGTTTAGCAGAGTCCTTGGATAAGGGAAATAGTGCTGGATAAGTGTGCTTTCTGATCTCTGCCCTCTCCACCCTACGGTCTCTGAGCCAGCGCCCACTACTAAAGTACCTGGAAGGAGCCGGGCTACTCTTCTCTTGCAGGACTGAGCTGCTACTGAAGAACTGGGCCTGGACTATAAGGACTTCTGCACACGTCGACTGCTGGTCACGTGAGGGCCGCGTCATCAATGAGCTCCAGCCCTTGGTTATCCTTCCCATTAACATTGCAGCCCGCCCCCTACATTCCCTTCACTCGATACTGTCAATCTTTTTTCTTATTTGCCAATCGGAGACAATAAAACTGGTATCGTCACCAAGTAGTATCTATTCATACATTACTCAGATTACACAAGAAAGATCAGTCCTTTAGGGTACGTCGACCAATTCTCCTAATTTGGGAAATCATCTCTTTCTCTCCTTTGCTACCTATGCTTTCCTCCCCTTCCCCCCAAATCTTACAGTCCACCATTTCTCTAGGAATGTCATCCTTCTTTAAAATGGGGGAAGGTTATAGATGTCTGGTCGCTCGTGGGGGTAGGAGGAGGTTGGATAGGGTAGGAGTGTTTAGCTTCACTAACCCTCTTGAGTAATTTTTTGTTGCGTTCCGTTTTAAGCAATAGCATGTTTTAAAATGATATTTAAAAAGGAATGCCTCATAAGCATTATTTAACACTGGATGAAAAGAAAAATATCTTCATTAAATCAATTTTAAGGTTTTGGAAAGTATTCTAATGGCTACAAGTGAAATGACAGTATTAACAGCCTACTGTTGTTGGGATTTTTAAAAATCTTACTAAAATGGCAACATTTGCAAACTGACTTTAAAAACAGAGCCAATTTTGTCTCCTTAGTTTTGCATCCACAATCCACTACTCTTTCTGGCTGAGCTTAAACTATTATTAGATGACTGAACTTTTAATTGATGGCTGCTGGCAGCTTCA